CTTTTTCATTTGACTGGAACAGCTTAGAGATGAAAAATTGAAAATATTTATGTTAGAAATGGAAGAGTGAGGGCTCGCGTGTTTTGGGGGGATTCATGCGAATAAAATGAATATATCCTCATTTGCACCCCCATACATGCTAGGTTCCAAGATCCACTCTCCTAGGAAAGCTACGTATGGTCTTGTGGCTTCAAAATCTACCCCTTTATTGTTCACCTAACTCTAAGCGGCCATACCCAAGGCTGGCATAAGATCAAAAAGTTTGCATTCTGATTCTGCTCTCATGAGTGCGGCCACCACATATTATTATCATATATTCCAGCCTGTCTTCCTATCTAAATAAGTATGCGCAAGCCCTGGAACATTCCATCGTTATGAAAACGTGGAATCCAATCTAAGTGACAAATTGTAATGTAAGCCATAGCAAAGCCCCAGGGAGTGTAAACTTTACGAAATTAACGATTTAACTTAATACGTCACTGCGAGGAATCACGAAATGTTCGAAAATGAGGTATATCATGAAGACTCATGACACTCATTCCGGCCGGTCTGTCTGTCTGACGGTCTGTCTCTGTTTATCCGCTAACCCTTGGTCTATCTATAACTTGAGAGTACCGCTAAGTAAAGAACGAAAAATACTTGTGGCTTTCAAAATTCGGTTCAGTGAAGCGTCTAATCATTTTGAGAAAATTTTTTTTTGATGTTAGAAATTGGAGATTGTAAGGGGTGGGGGAGAGCATATCTCATTTTGTTTCAACGGGCAACGTTGCCAGGTGGACGGGAATTACCGGTAAGGTAAGGAATGAACAGATTACAAATTACGGAAAAAAGTGGATCTATTCTGATCCAATCCCTATATAATTTCTAAAGCACTGTGTCCAGCCTTGATACTTTGATCAGACTCCATAGCATTGACGTGCGGCCTTGCATGTAGCTTTCCGCGGTTGGACCAGTGGTTGCTACTATTTGAAACCGTAGCCTTACCAGGTCTTCACAGTGACCCAAGAGATGCACTGGGGTTTCCTCATGCTTTCTGCAGAAACGGCATGTGGCCTCTTTTGCCAGACCCAAGAGCCTCATATGTCGATTTAGACGACAGTGATCTGTCAGGAGACCCACTATGGCCCTGATGGCCTTCCTATTGAGTCCGGGTAGGTGCACTGTAAATGTGGGCCTTCGTTCTCTGATTGCCTGTCTTTTTCTCGATTGGCTATTCCACCATTCTAGCGAATTTCTCTTGGTCCAATTTCTTATGGACTATTTGGTGCGTGTTCTATCACGTCACAGAAAGGCTCTGGGTCTATAAGGCGATTGGCCACACCCTATCCGGCTAGCTCATCCGCCTTTTCGTTTACTTTGTCCTGGTACCCAGATCAATGTGGCCGTGCTTACGGTTTCCCAGCTCTTTGAGAGTGTTCATGCAATCCCATACTAGTTAAGACGATATTTGCGAAGAACTTAATGTCTTTATGGCTGCCTGGCTGTCTAAGCACATGGCGATCGGCTGATTTGCAGTCTCATTACTTATTAGCTCTATTGCGCAGACTTGTCTGGCCATTACATCAGCCTGAAATAGTGTTGCAATATTGCCTAGACTTATAGAGATCCCAGTTTTTGGACTTGCCCCATGAATCCCAGGTCCAGCTCCATCTGTGTACCATTAGATTTTGGCTTATATAGGAGGTCCTTTCTCCCGCGCCTTCCTTTCGGATAGTTTGATAGTGTTTTCGAAATTGTATACTGGAACAGTTGTATCGGTGGGCAATACCAATATAGGATCGGCCTTCAACTCAGTGTGCAGTTTTTGATGGTCTTTTCCGTGCTGCCGAATGATCGGTGATTGGCCTTGAGTTAGTCTGTGAGCCACGGGAAGAGCATTACCCTGAATAAATATGTGTACTGGTGGTATATCAAGAAGGACCTCCAGCGCTGCAGTGGGAGCGGTATGAATGGTCTCCGAGACGCTCAAGCAAGCTAGCCTCTGTACGCGACTTAATAGCCTCATCGCTTCCGACTGTGTAGTCTTTGTTCACTATGTCACTGGTCCATAAGCCGTCACGGGAATGAGCTGATGGGAACTAATTATATTGGCCTGTTAGGCTGTCTTGATCCGTTTAATTTCTCTGTTGTACATATTCTTAACTAATTTTCTAGGTTGTGCTGAATTTTATGTAGTGATTCATGGCGACGTTTTGGTAGAAAGTGCAGACTCAATCTACTTGATGCCATTTTTTTATTTTTCAGTTTCTCCTGTCTTGTTAGTATGTATATTATTATTATTAACACTGGTTAACTAATATTACATTTGAAAACAGTGAATTGTTAGTTCATAATGACTCCTGTTCTCTAGCTAGCGTCCTATTTATTTTCTACGACGTTCTAAATGAAATTCAATCTGAGCCCCCTGAAGAAATTCCACAGTGTCAACAAATCAAAGTGAAAAATACGGTCGGTAAAAAAGCTGCAGCAATCAAGTGGATGGTTCTGCTATCAGTTCTACTAGTAGTGGACCAGGCCGACTCGTGGGAATTTAGACGAAGTTTACTTTCCAACGGCATTGTGTGACTAAACGATCGCGTAGCTTCCTATTCCGAAATCTCCGTATAACAGTTTCTAGGACAGCGAAAAATATCAGTTGCCCTATTTTTCAAGCAGAGTAGAAAATTGTATGTTCTGTCTATCCATATTTGAAGTCATTGAGAGACAAAGGATTATTATAATAGTAGCATACCTAAGGTTAATTTTTTCAGCAAAAATAGCCCCTTTTAAAAGCTAAGAAGTAGCTGCTTTGCACACCACGCTATATTGAAACAAAGTAGTTGCAGTACTTATAAAAGGTCACTTTACCTGTTTTTTGAATAATTCATATTAGCAAGCTGACTTTTGGATGTTGAAAATGAATACTATAATCTTGCGCAAAAGTTGACAACTCCAAGATGACGGTAAGGCGCCACCTTGGAGGCTTTTTTGAATGGAATGGGGGTCACGTGACCCCTTATCTTGAAGCTCCTTATGGGTACTATAAAAAAATCCACCAGACAGTTACACAGGTCTTAGACCTATCACCATACTGTGTGTCCTTGTCAAGGTTTTTGAAAATATTCTTTACTCACAATTGCTAGACATCATTGAGCGACATAAGATACTGCCAGGGAGCCAGTCTGGTTTTCGAGCAAATCCCAGCTGTACTACGGCCACACTAAAAATAGTTGATGATATATGTAATTATATGCAGCACTTGATAAAAACAAGTTATGGATTTTAGCACTACCAGATTTCTCTAATGCTTTTGACATAATTAACCACCAGGTCTTATTATCTTTGTTGTCTTGCTTCAACTTTTCTCAATATGCTAGATATCTAATTGAATCTTATATAACTCAGATCTCAGGCAGTAATGTTACAAAAATAAAAGTCTCCTCAACCCGAGATTTTCAATGATGTCCCGCAAGGCTTCGTGTTAGGCCCTCTGTTTTTTATATTATACACCTCGCAGCTCGAGAGATGACTAAAATATTGCTCCTTTCACTTCTATGTTGATGATACTTAGCTATCTGAAGAGACGGACATCGAAAAAGCATGTGATCAATTGAATGAAGACTTAGAAACTTTAGCACTGACATCTGTCTGCCACTAAACCCTTCGAAATCAGTGGTGATGCTCTTTGGTGAGAAGGCTCGAAACAGATGCCTAAGTAAAACAAACATTAGCGTAAAACATGAAAAAATTATTTCAAAAGATGCAACAAAAAATTTAGGTGCGCATCTAGATTATTCACTCAGGTTCTCGGAGCATGTCACATTTCTGTTAAAAAGAGGATACTATAATCTTAAAATCCTATATAATAGTAAACTTATCGTCGCACAGCAAAATTCATGCGTGCGTGGGATAATGTTTCTCAACACTACTCCAGCCTACAACTACTACAAATGATACCAAAGGAGCCTGCATTCAATTTCTATCTTTCATAAGACCATCACCAAACAAACTCCTGCTTATCTGTATTAGAAATTTCGTTACAGAACAGACGTACACACTTTCAGCCTGCATTACAGAGATTTAATTTCTACTCCTAGATTCTGTACATCGTCTACGAATTTATTAAAAATGAAGCATTTTCTATTGCACAATATGAAACATACAAAATTTAACTCATTTTTCTGTATATACAACAGTTTTTCATTTCTGTTTTTTTAACTCTTTTTGTATCAATTTGTAGAAATTCTACGTATTTTTGTGTGCTTATCTTGGAAATAAAAACCATTTATTATTATTATATAGCGCTGGAATATAAGTATCTTTCAAATTGGCTGACTGAGGATGTTTAAAGTTCATCGTTTTCGTACGTTGAACCGTTTATAATTCCACGACCAATAAAAACACAGTAGTATGTTATGTCAATCTCATTTTATTGCTGGGACCTATCGGAATATATGATAAAAAATATCAAAATTTCTGTTGAACAAAAATTCAAGTCTCAATTTTTGTAAGCAGAATATCTTCTAACTGAAATGATTTAAGAACATTGGTTATCATGGTGTAGTGGTTTTATTATCAGTTAATGAGTTATATACACTTTAATTTAAAAAAATGTGGCATTCGCTCCGCTATTTTGAGTAAATTTATACTCTAGGGCTGCAAAGTAATAGTAAGAAGCTTCAAAGTGGGGGTAACCCATAACAAACTATTCCATTAAAAAAATGGTCTCAGCCGCCATTATGCAATTTTCAACTGTCACATTGATTTTCAGATTGCCAACTTCTCATGTTCACAAAGTAATGTGGGCAGGTAAGCTTTTTGAATAACACTATATTAGTCCTCCTGTATATACAATCTATGTTTATTCAACTATGGGGTTACGATCAATGACATACGGTCTTAAGCCATTTTTTCTTCAACTTCTTCTCCATGATGTTAAAGCTTTTACAGCCTGCTGCCTGTAAATACTTAGTAGCGCTAAACATCCGTATCTTAAGACCTTGTTTTCTAATAAGGTTTACCTTTTAATGAGAATATCCATATTCCCTCATTTTCTTGCTAAAAGTTGGTGTCCGTTCCTCGGCAGAAGAAATCTGGACCTATGCATTCAATTCCTGTGTAAATTTTCTCAAATTACTTTTTGCTTCAAGAATTTTTAGTCGTGTTTACAGCCCACAAATTCAAGTTATCAATAGAGAATTATGGCAAACGACAACTTTATTTCTTGTGCAGGTTCCAACTACGTTAGTTTATCTACATGGACGTTTAAGTGAATGCTCATATTTACAGAAAGTAACATCGTCTTTATGAAACATAATGATTAAGCTTTCAGCTAAGCACTGCGGAGATTCAATATTGGTGAAGGAATATTAGGATCAAGCACGATGAAATGATCACCTTCCTTGACAAACGCTTACCTATATGTAGAAAAATAAATCAAAAACGTATAACATCTAACAGCTTTTCCCATTCTGAGACAACACATACATGGTAATTATTCTTCTAGCTCATAGTTCCCGGATTTGGCACGGAACTTTGTTCTCTCACTCAGAATCATGTCTGGACCACAATGCGGAGAGACGTAAAAATTTGTACACTCACTAAATTGATACACGAGGAACGTTATCCGTAAGCTCATCGCCGATTTTGCAATGATATTTGACAGTATTCAACTGTTGCGGCAAGTACCAAAATCTCCACCGTCAGAGTCAAGCCAAAACAGCGCGGCCTGCCATCGTTCCACTCAACCTGCGTTACACCAATGGACAATTATACGTACAATTGTTACATGACTCTGAGCATACATGATAAGATATGCCACAAATGCAGTATTATTTATTGTTTTTTTTTTTTTTTTTTTTATACTCCAACTACCACGAAGGCCTAAGGCCTAAGCACCCATTGGGTACCGTGGGGCTATGGGGGATACATGGGAAAGGGGGGACGCCACACGGACTCTGGCGAGGGAACACGTGTGCATGCAACATGCACACATTCTGGCTCCGCCTACGAGAACCGCCGGGTGGTACCTCCGCGTTCGACAGTCAGAGACCATCTACCACCTACGGACAATCACAACATCCATGGCCAAGAGAAACATTTCTCCTGGGACGGGACTCGAACCCGCACAGCGCACGGCGGCTGATCAGGAGACCGAAGAGTCTACTACTGCGGCCACCGCTGCTGCCTAAAACAAACACACAACATACATGACGAAGGCGAGATTCGAACTCGCGGCCCGGCCGGCCGGCTGATCAATAGCACGACACTCTGACCCACGCGGCCAACCGAGGTCCCGATTGTGATTACGCATTTAAAATCAATTTATTGTTGTATTAAACTGTGGAATAAAAATGTCCATTGATTATTGCATTTCTTTTTCCGGATGCAATATGATTCACACTATTGCAAAACGAATGATGTATACTTCACACAATTTAGAGGACAGCCGAACTGTGGGTTTGGGATAGTCTCTCATACTTACAACATATCCAAGAGCTTGTCCTACATTGGGGCAAGAGGCAGACCATTCAACGAGCATGCAGGGTACTTCTCTGGGTTCATATCCAACTCGAAAGTCCTTTGGAGTAGCTGTACGGTTCGCAAAGGTTACGATGCTCCTCACGTTGTTTTGGTTGATGTGAGCATTTCCATCCCCTGCTACAGACACTGCGAACTGAAATATTTTTTAAGTACATTATCGAAAGTGAGTTTTTAGTACAAGAGTCTGTAGTTACATAGCACTATGTCCTGTAAGCCATGACGTGAAATACGCCTAACTCTTACTTTCCAAACACACTGTATATTCTGAAAACAACTCGATTTTATGTACCTTTATGACTGTCTATTTATATATTTTATCTATTTATGTATTGAATCTCTTATCCAAAGATTTTATTAATGCTCTTACTAATGTAGTAGTAGAGCTACTTTGAATCGCAGCATTATCTTTATTGTGCCCCTCTTAATATGCTTCAGTCACATTGTACATATGTCATTAGTGAAGTGTAATTGTATGTTACGTATTAGCCTATCCTACATAATTTTTTAAATATAAAAAGAATCAATGTCTATCTATGTAAGTCACTTTTGCAAAAGACCTTAGAGCCTGTAGTCTTTTGTAATTTAATTCATTTCTTCCGATTCAGTAGTAGAGTGGCTAACATAAATAACTTCATCCATCCGCTGATTTCAGAAACCAAGTGCAACAAAGTTTTATTTTATTGTATTTCTGTGTATACAATGTGCTTAGTTATTCCAAGGCAAGCTTCTACTTAATTTTTCTTAAATACTAGTCTAGTCATATTACCAAATTTCCCCGAAATAATTGTAAAGGCTGGTTTTATTGATGCAAGTTGTTCAAAGGGGTATTTAAAACATGAAGCCATAAAACAGGTATACCAATTTTTGTGGGAAAACTTTTTATTCGACAACAAAGAATGAGAAAACGTTTTTTTTGGAATTCAATTGAAAGTCTTTAAATAAGATTTTTACGTATTTATGAGACCTACAGAATCAGACCACACGTAAAAAGATCCGACTAATAGTAAAAAAGGTACGGCCAAAAACCGAGGCTAAATGAAGATTTTGACACTTGTTGCTAATGCGACTATATTTTCGCGCAGCTACCTGAAATTCTTCAAATCCGTAGGCTTGGTACTTTTAAATAACCACAAAAAATCTGGAGTCGATTGGTCAAGTAGTTATTGAGAAATCCTAATTATGTATCCCAAAACACCTGTCTTCCTGCCATCAATGCTAGATTACTGAGCAATATACAGAGTTTGTTCAAAGAGCATTTTATATTAAAATACACGAGTTTACTTTGATGACATGTATTACAAGCCATTCCGAAAGACGATTGTTATTTTTATGCGAAAAACGAAGGGTTACGTTATTTTCATCTAAACAAATTCAAACATTTCGTAGTTGTGACCAATTTAAGAAATTCGCTACGAAGTTCGAAAAACACACATACAGGGTGTTTCACAACTTATCCGACAAATTTTAACCACATGTGCACTGTTACGAAAGAAGTTGATTTCTAAAAAAAAATGTAATAAAAGTCCTACAGAAATTAAGCTATAAACCTGAGTTTCAATAATAGATTGAAAAATAAATATCTGTATTTTGCGTTCATCGTCGTGATATTAGAGCACGCATTAATAATTTGTAATAAGAACGTGTAAATAAGGTTTAATCTGTATCGTGGGTGATCTGAATGAAGAACGGTCGTTTTTTGCGAAGTTAAATAAGAAAGTATTTTGTAGGAAGGAAGGGGCGGTCCAATTGCATAGCCTCCACGGTCTCCCGATCTTCCCGACATCTCTTTATGGGGATACTTGAAAAACGAGGTATACCGTACTCCAGTTCAGAATATTGAAGAATTGCGTGACCAAATCACAGTGGCACAGCAGGAAGGATGTGTATTTGAATTAGTGCGCCGAAATTGGATTAGATGCGCCCAAGCTTGCATTGCAGTTAATGGAAACAACTATGAACAGCTTTTATAAGTAAGTGTATTATTTTATTATATCGATTTCGGTAGGACTTTTATTACATTTTTTTTTTGTGAAATCAACTTCTTTCGCAACAGTTCATAAGTGGTTAAAATTTGTCGGATAAGTTGTGAAACACCCTGTACATTTTGAAACAAAGCGGATGTATCTCTCAGGCTTTGCTGCGAAGTAAACAACCTTTTTCCAAGATTTCTTCATACTCTTGTGTATACATATTTAGATCTGACATTCGTACACGGTCATGGATGAGCGTTAAAGTTTATAAAAAAAAATATTTCTTACTGAAATGCGCTGAACGGCTTATAAAGTTAGCACGCAAACTGGAGACACAATTATGTCTCAAACTGTCTTAGACTAGTTAGTATGTAGCTTGTGCTAAATAGCTGCATTATTAATGACTGCATGACTTTGCCAAATAAGTAGGCCACGTAATCTAGTTTCTTTATGAACAAATATAATTTCCTGGACCATTTCTATAAAAGTATTAATATACGTAGTATACGTCTCTGACCAAAATATAAAAGACACTTTTCAAAGCAATTAAAACAGCCTTCTATATATTATCAACGATAAAAATAGATATCTTAAGCCTGCTAAGAAACTCTAAATACATATCAAAAGACTGAAAATGTCTTATGAAAACAAATCGAATTATGGAAGCTAACAGTGTTTGTTTCTCTCAAATTGTAATCCTTTTGTTAATTATTTCGAACAAAGCTTAATAAATATTTTTATTATGTAGATTAGCTCTTAATTTGCTGTTATAATACACAAACGTGATAATGCTACTTGGTTTCCGAGAAAACAGTTTAACTTTAATGATGCATTTATTAGAAATATACCACATATACTTTGTTTCCAACAATAACCTAACGTGTTATTTATTCATCGCTGCCTTGAGTTCTTACACATTATTTGTTTAAAGGTTCTGTGCCGAGTAACACTGCCATCATACACCAAAAACTCCATTTTAGATAAAGAAGGTCTTAAATATTGAGTAATAATCATCCGGTAATGGTTTTCTAGATACAACTACTTTAATTTTGAATTATGATGTATTTGTACAACCTTTTACTTAATTACTGTTCAAAAAATTTTTATCAAATCAGTAACACTTACCTAACTTACCTTGTACTTAGTGCAAAACTCGAGATCTGATATCAAGACACTAGTGTTTGTTGTGGTCAGTTTTGGAGCTGCAACATAGATTTTATTCACATAAATCTGATTGGTCGTGGTTAAAGTAAATGTGAATACAAACAAATCCATTGGTAGCAATACAAATCGATAAAATATCAGAATCCCAGCATTTTCTTATGTTATTCCAATTTTCGTAAGAATAAATTACAAAACTGATAACATTCTTTCAATATCTCGGTTGGTGACTCGTTTTTCATTCGCCAGATATCTTCAATTATCTAATTATATTGGAAATCATCCAGATTATAATCAAGGCCTTTAGGGACATCTTGGGAACTTAAAATACTTTACTCACAGGTCAGTTCATCATCATCCTTTTCATAGTATATCCAGTAGGTAGTGTCAGGCTGGATTGGTAGAGGAGTACCCCAGTCCAATTTGACGGTATTGCCAAGTCCCGGCGATATAAATATTCGTGATATATCTATGCTTTTAGGAGGTACAGGAACTGCTATAGTTGTGGTTGTTGTCGTTGTATCAATAATTTCGTCTGCCACAGCAATTACGTTGATCTGGAAACGATAATATGTCAGATTAATCAAAGTTGTAGTTGCAGTTGCAGAAAAAGTAGTATAGACGGATTCTACAATATTCTTTGAGGAAAATGATGAGGCTTACTTAGGGATATGTCGTATGTATGGAAAACTATGAATACCGGTAGAAGTATCCGAATAGTTATGGGAAGAAAAATATCTTCAAAATGACAAAAAGAGGCCTGATTAGTTTAGTCTGCTGCAGCGGTTAATTCGATAGATAGTTCGTCAAATGAGACCGAGAGAAAACTAGGTACAAACAGAAATTATCAGGAACTGTTGAGTAAATTTGATGCTGCAAATCGTTACAAGGATTAAACTTTTGACCATTAATCAAGATTTAGTGTTATGCACTTTCCAGTAAGAAATAAAAAATTGTCGATTTTTCATCTCTTTTGCATTAACAAATTATTCGCTGCAGGAAGATTTTGTATATTTTGTATGTAGATTGAATTAATCAAATAGAAGTAGGCCCAGAGTATAAGTTTTCTCCAATAGCACTTAAAATAATATTGATTGTAAGATATCGTATCAGGCTCATTAAGGCTCTTAAACTGATCCAACTTAACCTATCTTAACTCCTTAATTAACTCAATCTTAAGCTATGTATGTTAGTTTCCCTGAATTGGTATTCGGTTCGGTTAAATTATGTTGAGCTAAGGTAGGTTAAGTGAGAAAAATACATTGTTCCTGTATCCTATATTCCCTAATCAGTGACTTTTGTAAATATATCGATGAAAATCGGTTGCATTTTTGGGATATGCGCCTAGAGAGCTGGGCTGCTGTAACCGTGTCGTTATCATGTCCATAATTGTTAAAAACCGCGTCACATGCGACACCTATTTAATATAACTAACAAAATAAAGCTTACTTACCAACGTTAGCACAATTTCAATTTTTGCCGTTAGGAGGAAAACCATCGTACTGACGTGCATTCGATAGCGGATAGTGAAAACTCATTAAGGAAACTAATGCTGTTAGACTATTTTCAATGCCAAATAAAATTACGCCGTGGTCAGTACATCATGTATAAAATCATAATTTTTTTATAATGACTGCGGGAAACACCATTTAATTGTTCCGCGTCCATTCATAGTCTGAAATCACACGCTTGCATATACACAATGCGCTGGTATCAAGAATAAATAATATTCGAAGATAACATGTACAGGCCTACAGAATCAAACAACTTCTACATATTACTATAATAGGCGAGGAGGTGGTTATCTTTCTTCAACAGTTAGTCGAATAATGCCTCGCGCTGTAATGTAATGCTCACTTCGAGGGTTACATTACAAAGTTCGTGATTTGAGTCCAGCGCATGTTCACTTGGAACGCTCGGCTCAAAAGTGCTCCACATTTTTCTACTGCAGTCTTTGTGGAAATGTCAGACCTAGAAGTAGCTAGAGTTGCGTTCAAAATCATCACCCTGTAGATTACCTTTTAGTTCCCATTACTACAAATTAAAATTTTTTCCTCAAGTTTATTTTTATTATGTAATTCTGGATAATGTTGCTGTAAATTGTTGCCTAAAATTTAACATCAGCTGCTTCTCTTTTTTCCCAAACAAGTATTCAAATTTAATGCTTTTCTCAATTTTGTTGGCTGTACTGAAAAAAATGTACTACGCTAATCTGGCAAGCAATTTTAAAAGTTGGCACTCTTAATAAAAATTCCAAAATGGTATGATACTTGCTAGAATATTTCTTGAATTATGGACAATTTTAATATTTGTAAAGAATCTCAGTTTTCCACATTTTTTTCTTAATTACCTAAAACTATTATAGTATGTATATGTATATCCAATGCTTTCCTCTGAGCAGTAACAGTAAACGTGTCATTTTCTTCCAAGATGAAGCAGCTGACGTTTACTTTTAGGCAACAATTTACAGCAGCATTGTTCAATATTACCTAATAAAAAAAATAAGAAAAAATCGAAATTTGTAAATAGTAATATGTGTAGATTTTCCAATTTTTTTAAAGCGTATAATTTGGAAAGTACAGGACTTCGATTATTTTATATTTTTCTGATAAGTATTATGACTAAGAAAAACACGTTTGCCTGTTCCTGTGCCTTCGCTTTTACATATTTTGGCTTTCACTCTCATGAGAAAAGCTAACAAACTTGTAATCTTATGTTTACACTCATCAACTGAAGTTTCTGTTTCTGCAGTTGCCACGCATCATGTTTCTTGAATTTGTTATAATATTTCGCATGTTTCTAGGGTCAAAAGGTGGTGACAAGGATTTTCAAAATGGGGTATTACGTGACTTCCCATTCCCAGTCCTCACTTTGAAATTATACGATGAAATATAGTACCTATAGCGACGACTTCCTCTCTGACAAGAGACCTGGAGGCTATCACTGCTTGGGGACGCAACAATCTTGTACAGTTCAATGCTTCCAAAACACAGCACTGTACTTTGACGAACAAAAAGCGTCCTAGCGCTCATACAGTTTCGATGGACAGTCGAGTTCTACCAAAGAGCCATTCATTTCGGCTGGTCGGAGTCCAGATCACCGAGGACCTGATCTGGCACGAACACATCTCTTCAATAGCTGCATCTGCTGGGAAAAAGCTAGGCTATTTGTTTAGGGCTAAGAAGTACTTTTCTCCGCATGGCCTTCTCACTCTATACACGGCCCAGATAAGGCCTAGCCTCGAGTATTGCTCACACATTTGGGGTGCTGCCGCCCCGACTACATTGTCCATGCTCGATGCTGTCCAGAGGAGGGCGGTCCGACTGATCGATGACTCTTCTCTAACAGACAGTCTCGGGACTCTTTCGCACCGGCGGGCCGTCGGCGATCTAGCTCTTTTCTATCGCTACACCAACGGACTTTGCTCCTCAGAGCTCTCTTCCATGATGCCGCCGCGCGATGTGCCTCCCAGACAGACCCGCCTGACTTCGGCGTCCCATCCTAACCGTGTCAAACTTCGTACATCCAGAACTGGCCGATACGACCGCTCCTTTGTCCCGAGGGTGTCTAGATTGTGGAACAATCTACGGGAGGAAGCTTTTCCCAGTTATACTAACCTTAGGCAGTTCAAAAATCGTATTAACAAAATTTCTTTGGGATCATCATAGCAGAAGTGGTGTTCCGGCATTTAGGCTTCTGCCTGCGCGGCTGTTTCGATATAAAAAAAAAATAGTAATTGTGCATCAATTCCATCACCTAAGACTTTAGCCTGCTAACTTAACCCATTGCAACGACAGGTGTGTGGGGAAACATTTTTGTAAATCACAGTATATCAAAACTGTATTTGCTCCTGGCTTAAACCTCAAATATAAAATTTGCATTTTTTTTAGACAGTTTGGCATGAAAAATCCTACTTTTACAAGGTAGAGCCTCTCCTCTTATAGAACAATCTTATCTTTATTTGACGATCATGCATTAATAATTGTAGTAATTATTACTATCATCCTAGTTAGGCAATTAATAATTACACTATTACTTTTTTAATAAATTAACCCATCAATACTTACTTGGAGGACAAACCATTGAAATTATTTGAACTATCCTCTCTGCAGTTACTCTAATTTTCATTGTGGTACACTCTCTACGTCTTATTTATATTCTTGATATCATTTAACCCTATAATTACTTTCAAAACTTTTGGCTACCAATGATTCCAGTAAATAAAATAAAAATTTACAATTTTCGATTGTTGGACCGTAGATAACCGAACGAATACATGTATATTTGTTTTTACCTGCTACGCCTACTGGCGGGGAAGTATTGAAATCGCGAAAATTTTCGAAAATAAGGTATTATGTCTTTTAGGTGCTATGTGACATTCACATCACGAAAAATCATGTCACTCATTTCCGTCGGTCTGTCTGTCGGTCTGTCTGTCGGTCTGTCTGTCGGTCTGTCCGCTAATCGTATAATCGCCTTTAACCTCAGATGTGTAGCTTGGACTTTGACGAATTTTTTATATAATGTTTCTACTATGCCAAGGACGCAAAATCAATGTAGTTTTTGAAAATCGGTCCAGTGGCGGTAGAGAAAAAGGCCTATAACGAAAAAAGTAAAATTCGCTCACGCTTCGTTTTTTGACATCTCAGAGGTAGAAAAACTTGGGGGTAAAGGTTATAAAAACGGTGGGGATGACTTATCCTCATTTATTGAATCTGGTACATCTATAGCCAGGAGTTCGAAACCAGGGGGGCGCGCCTCCCAAGGGGGGCGTAGAGAGATATCAAGGGAGGCGTAAAGCGTTTGCATTTTAGAAATAAAAAACGAAAAAAAAAAAAATAAACAAACAACATTAACAAATAACATTACAATGTAATGTTTAATTTACACGCATGAAATGAGAAATTAAATATCATATTAACTTATTCTGTCAACCCGGCGTCGTCAATCGCAGTTTATACAAGTTTCGACAAGTCACAACATGAAATCCGCCGCGCTCCGCTTAACATTCATCACTTAGAAAACAATTGTGTACCTACCAGACGCGGATGAGCATCTGTGACATTCATTCCCACAAAATTGCGAAAAATTTGACGTTTCGATGTACGAGCCCCTTCCCAGTTGGCCCAATTCAAGATTTGTACCAAAATATGCCTTTATAAACTAAACATGACGAAACTATTTTTCTTCTAAAACAATTTATTTTCTCAAAAACATTTTACATACACTCTAGTCGTAAAAAATACATATTTGAAATCACTTAGACCTATAACTAATAGAACATATGAACAAATAAACAATGCGCGAATAAATGCGCGAAGTTAACAAAGCAACAATTGACAGATTACCATTGGGTAACATCACCTTTATTTTTTATTACGGCTGAAATTCTTTGGGGCATAGTGTTAACCAAGCTTTGGCAAAAATTTGGTCTAAAATAATCCCATATTTCTTGAAGCTTTTGTCTCAGTTCGGTGATTGTACGAGCAGGATGTTGTCGTAGAATATTTTTCATCTCGTGCCACAAAGTTTTAATTGGTGACAGATCTGGACTGCTAGAAACCCATTTCAAAAGTGGTACATTATTTTCTTCCATCCATTTTATAGCGATTTTTGAGGTATGGCACGCTGCACCATCTTTCTGAAACACAAAATCTTGGCCGGATGTCAAACATTCTTCCATCACTGGTAAAAGCGATTCTTCTAAAATTACCAAATATTTGTTTGTATCCACATTTCCATCAATAAAATGAAGTTTTCCTATTCCTTTTGATAACATACTGCCCCAGACCATAATGGATGCTGGAAATTTCACTTTTCTCTGCAGACAGTCAACATGGAACGCTTATTTTTTTGCGAATAACTCTACTGCGACTGTCACCAACACAAATTTCGAATCGGGCCTCATAACTCCATTGTATTGCACACCATTGTTGTGGTGTCCATTGTCTATGTTCTTTAGCCCATCTAAGCCGATTTTTCTTTAGCAGTGGAGTTAATAGTGGCTTTTCTTTGGCCTATAAACAAGTTGTGCAACTTTAGGGTTTTTACTTCACTTTTCTTATAAAAAAACTTACCTTGCGAGTGCTAAATCCCAGTTTGTGAGCCTCTCTATGAGTTGTGGACCTCGAAATTCTACTTCCAACAGCGTCACTCCACAGAGCACTTAATTGTAAATAATTGGCACGCCTGTTTTTCACGATTATTCTTCTTAATGCTCTTCTGTCGGCATTTGTGATATTACTTTGTTTCACATATCGTGGCTTAATATTGACTGAACCAGTTACGTGATATCTTCTAACAATATTTCTCACACTGTACCGCGATAAGTCTAACAAAGTTGCAATTTCTGAGTTTGAATTCCCAGAATTCAAAAATTTAATTATCAGTAACCGAATTTTCTCACTAATAACCTTTCTCTACCCATTTTGAAAACCTTAACTACCCAAAACTATTTTAAACGTATTCTGACAGCTGTGATTAATTAAAACAATTGTCATGGTTTTTATTTTTCACAGCCACCTATGCGTTATAGACTTATTTTGCATTGAAATGAAAATAGGTTGATATGCTGTAATTGCAACATGTGTTATTCTTATGCTGCAAATTTGATTAGGGAGTGATAAAGTTGGTGTTTTCTACTATATATTATCAAAATATTCATTGTTAATATTTTATATAATAATATAAATATATTTTTTGATAAGAAAAAAACTAAGATTTCAATAGTTGGGCCAACTGAAGTGGGAAGGGGCATGTTTTATTGAGAAATCTGTTTGAGTGCGTAAAATGATTGTGTCTCACTGTTAAAAGGTAA